TACTGATGGTACTAATGGCAGTACTAGCAGTCGTCGGAGTATTAGTACAAGAAGCAAACCTGGTGATAGTAGTCGTAGTAGTAGTAGTAATGATATTGGCAATAATGGCGGAACGTGTTGTAAAAGAATTAGTAGTTGTAGAAGCAGAAGCAGTACTAGTCGTAGTCGAAATCGTAGTGGTAGTATTCGTCGTAGTAGTACCAGTAGTAATAGTAGTCGTCGTAGTAGTAGAAGTAGTAGTAGTAGTAGTAGTAGTAGTAGTAGTAGTAGTACTAGTAGTAGTAGTAGTAGCAGTAGTAGTAGAAGTAGTAGTCGTAGTAGAAGTAGTAGTAGTAGTAGTAGTAGTAGTAGTACTAGTACTAGTACTACTACTGGTCGTAGTCGTAGCAGTGGTAGTAATACCACTGGTCGTACCATTCGTAATAGTCGTAGTAGCAGAAGTAGTAGTGGTAGTGATACTAGTAGTAGTCGTCGTCGCCGTAGTAGTAGTAGTAGTAGTAGTAGTAGTCGGTGTGGTACTGGTAGTAGTAGGAACAGTTGAAATTGTGGTAGTAGTCGCATTGGTATTAATAGTAGTAATAGTATTAGTAGTAGTAGCAGCATTAGTCGTTGTAGTCGGAGTCGTAGTAGTAGTAGTAGTAGTAGTAGTAGTAGCAGTAGTAGTAGTATTAGTAGTAGTAGTAGTAGTAGTAGTAGTAGTCGTAGTAGCAGTACCACTACTACTACTACTACTACGACTTCAAGTCATACTCGTGGTAGTAGTAATTGCAGTAGAAGTAGTAGTAGTAGTAGTAGTAGTAGTAGTAGTAGTAGTAGTAGTAGTAGCAGCACTGGTGGCACTAGTAGTAGTAGGCGTCGTAGAAGTAGTAGTAGTAGTAGTTGCAGTAGTCTTGGCAACTGTAGCAATACTAGTAGTAGCAGCAGTAGCCGTAGTCGTAGTCGTAGTGGTAGTGGTAGTAGTAGTAGTAGTAGTAGTAGTAGTAGTAGTAGTAGTAGTAGTAGTAGTAGTAGTAGTAGTCGTAGTAGTAGTCCTCTTGGGTGCTCCTGGGGCCGCCCGCTCCCCAGGGGGAAGGGTGGAGGGCCGAAAAACCAAAAAAACACAAGGAAAAACCAAAAAAAACAAAAAAAAACAAAACAAACAATCCTGAGGAATTCCTCGGAGGGGGTGGGGAGGGCGAAAAGTTCGCCAGGATTGTTTTTTTTTTTTTTTTGATTTTTTTTTGTTTTTGTTGGTTTTTCCTGTGTTTTTGGACTTTCGCCCCCCGAGCATGCGGGATTCGCTTCATGGGGCCGCGGCCTCCCCCCATGAAGCGAATGATTGGACTCCTCAGGGAGGGAGGGGCAGAGGGGGGGGAAGTCCCCCAGGAAGGGGGTATCGGGGTCAAATCAAAGGGGGGGGCGTACTACTACTACTACTACTACTACTACTACTACTACTACTACTACTTCTGCGACTACTACTGTTACTGCTACTAAACTACTACTACTACTACTACTACTACTAACTACTACTACTACTACTACGACTACGACTACTACTACGACTACACTAACGACTAAGACTACGACTACGACTACGACACTCTACGACTACTACTACTACTACTACTATGCTACTACTACTAACTACTACGCTACTATACTACTACTATACTACTACTACTACTACTACACTACTACGACTACGACTACGACTACGACACGACTACGACTACGACTACGACTACGACTACTACGACCGACGACGACGACGACGACTACGACGACGACGACGACGACGACGACGACGACTACTACACTACTACTACTACTACTACTACTACTACTACTACTACTACTACTACTACTACTACTACTACTACTACTACTACTACTACTACTACTACTACTACTACTACTACTACTACTACTACTACTACGACTCGTCCTCCTCCTCCTCCGCCTCCTCCTCCTCCTCCTCCTCCTCCTCCCTGTCAAACTCGGCAGCGGGCCGAGACAGGGGGGGAGGGGAAGCTGCTTCAGGAGCAATGAGGGCATCGAGGAGGGGCGGCGGGAGGAGCGGGGACAGCAGCAGGAGGGGAGGCTGCAGCAGTGCGAGGCAGCAGCAGTGCGAGGAGCGGTGGGGGAAGGGAGGGGGAGGAAGTGGGAGGAGGAGGAGGAGGAGGAGGAGGAGGAGGAGGAGGAGGAGCATGAGGTTGAGGAGGAGCATGAGGAGGAGGAGGAGGAGGAGGAGGAGGAGGCGGAGGAGGCGGAGCAGGAGGAGGAGGGGGATGATAGAAGAAGAAAAAACTGCATAAACCGAAACTGTTGGCGCTCCGCGCGGATTCCTTGGATCCGCGCGCTGGACCCCCCTCCCTGGCGCGCGGAGCGCGCCAGGGGCGACGGCGGAGGTGCTGCCAGGGAGGCCCAGCGCAGATCCAAGAAATCAGTGCAGAGCGCCAACAGTTTATGTTTATGGCGTATGTTCTTCTTCTAGATGAGGTGGGAGAAGGCCTCATGGCTCGTATGCACGTCTCGGTGTGTGCGCGTCACCCCTGCGCACGGACAGTGCTAGTCTTCTCTGCCGCGTTCATATGGTAACGGATGATCCCCGAACGGAATCAGGAAGAGGCGGGAGGCGGGATTGTTTGTTAAGGCCAAATCGATACCTGCGGTTGCCGTCAGCATGAAGAGAAGGTGGAGGAGGACAAGGCGGGGGCCTGCACCATCTCGCCTATGTGATCCAAGAATCCCTTCAAACATTTGAGCTCGTGCCTGTCCGGCTCGAATGATGTAGGCGCACCACCCCGCTTTCGAGTCGCAGTGCTGCTTCCACGTGGTGTTCCACTCTGGCGACCCCCGTGTCCAATCTTGATCACAAGGCACACGAGGCGCGCGACCTCTGCCTCGAGGGGATCGGAAGGCTCGGCCTTTGAGGCTTGCCGCTTGGCTGCGTCAGCTGGCTTGCCCGACTCGGTGGACGGATCCAGCGCAGTGTTTGGACATCTCTGCAAGACCGCCAGCCGCTGCAGCGGCTCCAGCGCTTCCAGCCGTTCTTGCAGCCCGTTTCTCACTGCCCTTTCTGCGTCCTGCGTACAGCCCAGTCTGCCTCCCCCCGGCCAACGAATTCCAGAATGATCTGCGGAGATGGTCTCAGCTGGAAGGTGCACGCCTTGCCGCCGTCCGCGTATCTGAATCTCGCGATGTCTTTTGGCAAACATGCGCTCAGCGTTGCCCTGACAACTTCAACGGTCCTGATCGTTGCCGCGTCCGCCTTGAGAACCATCCCCCGACGCTCCCGGCCCATCCGCACGATGTCTTGCTGCATTTCTGACGGCAAGGCCTTCAGGCGGGCTGACACTCGTCACATGCTTGTTGCCATTCCGCTTCCAAGGAGGCCTGACTATTTCGCCCTCGACTGGTGAGGTGAACTCAAGTGGGCCGCCTCGGACCTGAAATACCTTGAGCCATATTGTGCACACGTTGTCGCCGTCGAAACAGTGTGCGTCACGTCACCACACTTTTGTGTTCAATATCCTGTGAATCATTGTCTGAAGCTGATCGCGCGGAAAAGACTTGCCTTCGGAAGAACAGCGACCGCCTCTGCAAGGGGCAGAATGCTGGCCGACGGCTCCGACTCGGGCAAGCCCCCTGGCCATGCCGCCACATGCGCGGCCGCTTCGGCGTGATCCCTCTCGCCGGCCTGTGCGGCGGTCTCCCCGACCGAGAGCAACGACTCGGCCTGCTCGATCTGCTCCAACAAAAGAAGCCTCGAGGTGCTCCAGGGCGGCCCCCGCGGCCTGACCCTCGGGCTCAGGCAGGGTCTCGCCCACGCCCTCGAAGGCTAACGGCTCGTCGTGCCCCAGGACAGCCAAGCTTGTGCAGGCGACCAGCAGGTCCGTGCCCTCCCCCGCCCAGTGCCTCCACACCACGTCCTGCTGCTCGGGCGGCCAGGCCAAAACTCTGCTCCATCAGGCCGCGCAGCGGCTCCTCGGCGCTGGCCCCCGCCGGCGCGGCCCGGCGATCGCCCCGCGCCCGCGCGGCGTCGCCCCGCGCGAGGCCTCCCACGCGCCCGCCGCGGGCCCGCGGCGCCCGCGGCCAGAGCCCCGGCACCAGCGCGAGCAGCCGCAGCGCGGGCGCCGCTCGCCGCCGCCACGGCGGCCGCGAGCGCGGCGGCCGCGAGCGCTCTGCCGGCCTCGCCCCGCGCCGCCTGCTCGCGCCGCGCTCTGGTCTGCCACTAATGAAGTCGAACGTGTCCCTCCACAGGAGGAATATGCGACACCACTCCAAAAATAGTCTGGGGATGATTTTTGGATCCATCCGTTCTGGACAGCGTTTGGATCTGTGTTGGCTATCTGTTTTACGCTCTGCCCAACACTCCGCCTGCAGGAGGACATGCCCGACCTAACTCTGCCAGCGCTGCGCCGCCAACGCGCAGCCGGCGCACCAGCGCCGCGGCGGCCCTCGCGCGGTCCGCGGGCCCGCGGCGTGCGCGCGGCGGGGCGCTCCTCTGCGCGCGGGCGGGGGCTCGGCCAGGCGCGGCGGCCGAGCCGAGGCGGCGGGGCCGCTGGAGCCCGAAGGCTCGCGCCGAAGCGGCCACGGAGGAGGAGGCACGAACGCCAAACGCGAGGAGCACAGCAGGGGGAGGCGAGGAGGAGGCGCGAGGAGGAGGCGCGAGGATACGGAAGAGGAGGCGCGAGGGCGCGGAGGACACGGTGGCGCGAGGCGCGAGGAGGAAGAGGAGGCGCGAGGGCACGGAAGCCAAACGCGAGGAGTAGGCGCGAGGAACCACAAAAGCAGCAGCAACAGCAGGAGCATGGCCATGGCACGGGCGCTCGTGGGAACGAGCTGGAGCAGCATGGGGAGCACGAGCCAAGTGCAATAAGCAGAGTTACATGATGGAACAAACAGTCGGAAAATCCAAGCCGACGCCGCGCCAACCCAAATCCACCCGCTGGGTGTCTGGCGAACCATGGGAAACACATTCGATCGTAGTTATATGCACATGTTTGTGTGTGTGATGTTGTCGGATGTACGACAAAGGAACATGTTGTGTTGTTTCGTTGTCTGGTCCGTCTTCAAATTCTCGCAGCGCGCCCCGAAACTCCATCCGACCCACCAGAATCATCAGGGGATCTAAAAACCTATCGTGGGGCAGCGGCTGCATCAGGAAACCCAAACTTCAAAAACCGCTTCAACGAAACACCTCCCAGAACCTTCACGCCTTTTCGAGCCAAGCTCAGCACATGTGGCGTCCAACACCGGATAGCAATGCAGTCCAAACCGATTGAAACGCCTCAAGGAAACGCTTGGAAAGACGCTGGAAAGGATGCCTGGGGAGCTTGCAAGATCGAGAAAGTAGCTTCGCGGTAGTTCCCCAGGAGCTTCGAAGGAAGTGTGGAAAAGCTTCCTGCACGCGTATTGAGAATGAGTCGGAAAACGCTTCCCGGAACATGCTGCGATTTCAAGCAGCCGGCTGCGGGGATGCCTGCCCGGGAGCCTTGGAAAGGAGCTGGCGTAGCCCTGCCTGCCGGCTCAAGGGGCCATCCTGGAAAAAAACCGATAGCGGAGCAGTCCAAGGCGTGTGAAATGTCTGTGGGAGATGCTTGCAAGGGCACTGGGAAGGATGCCTGGGGAGCCTGCAAGCTCTGTAAAGGAAGCTTCGCAAGAGTTCCCAAAGAGCTCCGATGGAGCTGCGGAAGGGCTTCCCGCACGCGTATTGGGAACGAGTAGGAGAGCACTGTCGGGACACGCTGGAGGCTCAAGCAACAAGCTGCGGGGATGCCTGACGGGAGCCGCGGAGAGGGAGCTGGCCTACCCTGTGCTGCCGGCTTCTACCCTGAAGCCCTCTCAACTCTTAGAGAGCTATCCAAGAACCTGCCCAGGTCGAAGGGCCCAGCGTCTCGATCACTGGGCTGGCCCGATTGGTTCCGGCTGGGACCGGAACCAGCGCGGCTCTGGAGCCGGTGCGAGTCCCTGCCGCGCGTGAAACGCCTGTGGGCGAGGCTTGCAACGATGCTGGAGAGGACGCCTTGAGACCTTGCAAGCTCTAGAGCTTGCAAGCTCTAGATCGGGAGCTGTTGGGGAGCCTGCAAGCTCTGGACCTTCGCAAGTGCTCTCAAGGAGTTTCGCAAAAGCTGCAGAAAAGGCTTCCCGAACGCGTGTTGGGAACGAGTACGAAAACGTGTCCGGAACACGCTGCCGATTCAAGCAAGGCGTAAGATGCCTGCCCGGGAACCCTCGAGAGGAAGCTGGCCGACCCTGCGCCGCTGGCTTCTAATCTCGAACCATCTTAGCTCTCCAAGGAGCTACCTGGGAACGTTTCGCCCCTGGAAATGACATCCCCGGTCCCTGAATTTCAGAATGCGGCTATCGCCTGAGTGCCGCGCACATGCGCTTTCAAGTTCGCAAGAGCTACACGGATAGAGGGCGGGTCTGTTTGTTTCAGTATGTGGCCATCGCATCAGCGCCGCGCACAAGTCGACTTACAAGTGTGCAACGGAATCGTGCATGGAGGGCGGGACCTGTTTCAGAGTGTGGCTCCGGTCTTCGCGTCGCGCACACTCGTTTGAAACGTTTGCAAGAACTTCCTGGATGGAGGGCGGGCCCTTTCTCTGAATGCGGCCATCGCCTTAACATCACACACATTCGTCTAAAAAGTCTACAACAGCTTCACGGGTGACGAGCGGGACCCTGTTCAGGAGGTGGTTCTCGCTTTCGCGTCGAGCTGTTTCGCTCTGAAAGTCTGCGAGAACTTCACGGATGGAGGGCGGGCCCATTTTTCATCATGTGTCTATCGCCTGAACGTCACGGATGACAGAGTCATGTATCTTCACAGTGTGCAGCATCTTCACGGATGCGTCACTCGTCTTACCATTCAGCCACGTTTTCGCCGTATGCCGTTCGTTTTTAAGTAGGCAGCAGCTTCGCGGATGAAAGGCTGGTCCTTTTCCAGAATGTGGGTCTCGCGTCGCGCACACTCGTCCTATCTAAAGTTTGCCAGGAATTCACGAATGGAGGGAAGGCCCTGTTTTCAAGATGCGGTTGTCGCCTAAGCGTCGCGCGCGTTCGCCATAAGAAATTGAAAGAGCTGCACGGAAAGAGGGTGATTTCTCTTGTCAAAACGTCGCGACCGCCTTAGCCTCGCACGCAGTCGTCTTAAAGATTGCAGCAGCTTCACGGAAGGAGGGCGGGCCCTGTTCAGAATGTGGCCATCGCTGGTGCACCGAACGCAGTGCATCACAGATGGAGGGCGGGCCCTATTCGCAACGTGACTCTGGCCGTATCGCCGCGCACAATCCTCTTCAAAGTTTGAAGGAGCTGCACGGACGGAGGGCGGGTCCGTTCTCCAAATGCGGCCGTCGCTGGTGCGCCGCACACACACGCCTCAGACAACTGCAACAGTGTCGCGTTTAAGGGGCGGATCTCTTTTCAGAATGTGGCTCTCGCGTGAGCGCCGCGCACAGTCGCCTGAGACTGTGCAGCAGCTTCGCGGATGGAGGGCGGAAGCTTCTTCAGAAGGCGGCTCTCGCAATAGCGCCGCGCACACTCGTTGTAACCTTTTGCAACGGCTTTACGGATCGAGGGCGGGTTCGTTTCCAAATGCGGCTCTCGCATGAGCGCCGCGCACATTCGTCCTTACATATTGCAACAATTCCACGGATGGAGAGCGGGTTTGCTTCGCAATGTGTTTCTCGCTGTAGCGCCGCGCACATTCGTCCCAGATCCTACGAATGTGGCGGTTCTGGCTTCCGATGTAGCCAATCACGCGTCGCGCGGAGATCTAACAAATCAACGCACCGTCGCTCTGTGGCTAATGATGCTCCGCTCAAGGCGAGTAGCGGCTGTGATTGCAGGGCCCCCTTGTCAAAGCTGGTCTAGTGCTCGAGCGTTGCATGGTCACCCTGGTACCCGCAGACCCTCTTCGTCTCCTCAGGTCTAGCACATATCTTCGGGGGGTTCGGCCATCTGACCAAGAGGGAGAATGCCCAGCTGGCCCTGGGCAGTCGCTTGTTGCGCACCACGGTTTACTTTCTGGGAGATGCCTGGATTAACGGGGTCCCTGCGGTCATGGGACACCCGTCCCACAACACTAGGCTCGATGGTGATCCATGCTCTTGGCTGTTGCCCCAGTTGTCTGCCCTGGCTGCCCTTCCAGGCGTTGATCTGCACCACGTCCATCAGTGCGAATTTGGAGCCTCCTGTCTCAAGCCCACTACCTTCTTGTGCGTCCACCTGGTCTCGGTTCGGAGTTTCTTGGAGGCCTTGCCATCTAGAGGGCGGTGGCCCCGCCGGGGACTTCACGCCAGTCCCGGAAGGGTTAATGAGTCTGGAGTGCGGAAGACGGCCCACACTAAGACCTACCCCCCCGACCTGTGTCATGCCCTGGCTGCGTGCGTCGTCCAAGAAACCAGGCGCCGTTTTCCTGAACTGTGCCGTGGATCCCTCGGGAATCTCCCTTCGAGGTCCCCCTGGGATGTTGAGGTATCCCCCTGTGCCTCTCTGTCTTTCTCTCTCTTGGACAGGCCTCCGCACCATTGGACGATGGAGCAGGAGCGTCTCCTACGAACCATGGTGGCTTTGGAATGTTGTGACGACGGCTGGGAAATACACTTTGGGCTCAGGAAAAATTGCGGGTCCATCACGTGGATTGCATTGTTCACACTAGGTCCCACCCTGCATCGCCAACCCCGGTGCCCTGACCCACTCAGGTCCTCTCTCTTGTGTGCGTGTGCGTGCGTGTATGTCTAGTTCGTTTCTCTCGGCTACCTAGTGTACCTTGCGTGCTAAGTGTCTGGCCAAGGGCACTTGGAGGAAAGATTGACGCGGCCAATGCCGCCCCCAGGCGCGCCACATTCTTGGCAGCACCCCCTGTGTGGGTAGTCCGCCATTCCGGGGGCTGCAGCGCCCTAGGCAGATCAGATGCTGTACGCGTATGGAAGGCTCACCTTTTCCTATGATATTGTCCTGCCTTGTTTCTTTCCTCTAAGTGTCCATCAGCTGTGAATGACAGTACCCTCATGTTGACGGCTCCGTCCTTCTTGGA